GCAAAAAACCTAGAGCCAGCCCTGCTTGATCCCCAGCCCTACCCTACAGCAACTATAAACCCTACACTTTCCCCTTACAGAAATAATGGGCCACATCCTCAGCTAGTGTGAACTGATGTAGCTCCATTGAAATCAGCAGAAGTATTCTGATTTACACCAGCTGGAGATCTGGCCCAGAACCTTAACAAATCAAGAACGTCACATGTTCCTCACCAAAGCAGCTTGTAACAATTCTCAGTCAGGGTCTGGTTGGGGAGCATGACCTAGTGCTCAAGGCCACAACTCCTGACTGCCAAGGGGGTTGTGGGGAGAGCCCAAGCCTTCCCACTCCACTGGGCTCCGACCCAGGGCCCTTTGGGCTACCAGTGGTCTGGCAACCAAGGCTGCTTAAGGGGGTCCTCCCTGGGCCTCTTCCTCTCATTCCCTCCTCACCCCCGCATCATCTTAGTCCGAGACTTTCCCCTCGTGGGGGAAACCCAAATCACAATAACTAATAGGGGGTTACCAATGTCCAAGATCCACAGGATACTTCCCTCGCAGGTTGTCTCTGGGGTGCGTCCTTTCTTCCCTCAGGAAGGGCCCCTTTGGGCAGTTGTGTCAGAGCCTTAGGCTTCCTCTGCTCTGCAGTGCTGGAGCTGTGGGCTGCAGCTCTGCTCACCTCCAGCTCTGCCACCCAAATGAGCTAATTCCCGATCTCAATTCCTCCAGCAGATGGAGCATTTGCTGCAGGGGGGGGGGGGGGGGGAGTGGCTAAAACCCAAATAATCCCTTAACCCCATGTTGCCCAGTGTGGGGTTTGTACACCCCATCATACAGCTACATGATCTCATGGCCATGACCTTTGTCTTCCCATCAGCCTAGTACCAGGGTTTATTATAATCTCTTGTGCTGTTATGCCTCATACATATGGCCAGCTGTTGCAAACAGCCAAGATGAAGTTAGTAAGCTGAGCTCAGTGATGTATCACACAATTGCAGCCTTTAGCAATTGAGAGCAGACACTGCCTTCTGTCTGTCCAGGGCAATTCACATTTATGGCACTCTATAAAGACACAGGTGTGTTCTTTTTCAGAACATTTGACTATGAGAAGAGACCATATTTCTTTCACCTGCAACATCTTATTCATTTGGGCAAAAGTAGAATGCACATAAGGAACAATCCTCAGTCTTTTTTTTTTTTTTTTTTTTTTTAAATAGACACTTCCATCATCAAATCCATAGTTGTTGTAGTCTAAGGGGCTAAAATGCCAGTCAATATCTAAGCCAATGTGCTTAGGTGAAGGACCCTACTCTCAAAAGTAATTGCTATTTTCATATAAAAAAAGTGTAAATATCAGCAAGAGACATTCCCCTTTGTAAAAACAAAACACAGCAGCAAAACTAAATTGACGAAAAGGATTTATTTATTTACACAGCTGAGGAGAATGTAAAGATCATTCCATAAAAATAAGTTGGGTTTCCCCATGCTGAGACCCCAGCATCACACAGAACAAATTTGCCAAATTTTACAATGCGATTTAGTAATAGCATCATGTATTTACAAAACGCTTTTTCAACTGACAGTTTAAGGCAGAGTCAGGGCACAGTGATAGTAAGTGGCACCTAAGTGCAGTTTTGTGCTAGGCATAATATGAAGAGAGGAACTGGCAGCATAACTTACAGTCACGTCCATTAGGAAGTTTAAGATTGGAATTAGTTTCTCCTGCAGGTCTAGCTGGAAAAGAACCAGACCCACTCCTTGCAACCTTCATCTGTTTGCAGCTTTAAACAAAAAACCACAAGGCATTCCTAATTACCTCCATTTATCAGCTAATGAGCACATAGACAAGACTGGTAACTTGTTAACTTAATAAAAATGTTTGGCTAGCATATCTAGAAAAAAAGTACAAAAATCTTATTCTGATAGCAGTGAAGTGTGGATCGTGGAAATAATACACAGTACTGTTTTTCTAGTGTTGACAAAAATACCTGTAGGAAAAGGCAGACTTATGATGCATCTGTTGTAAAGGAAAAATTGCCACTTAGAAGGGATGACTGACAGGTTTCACATTTAGGGGGAGATTTTCAAAGGCACTTAATTCCCATTGAAAGTTGACAGAAGTTAAGTTCTTAAGAGCCACTTGTGCCTTTGAAGATCTTCACTTTTTAACTCAAGGACGATAATATACAACACCCAACTGGACAATCTGAGTGTGGGGTCAGAAGGCATTCAGAAATCACATGTGCACTAGAGATTTCCATAACAAGGTATTGTTTATAGACTTTCACAGAACCCCTACAAGCTATAATTGTATAATTCTCTCCCTTGTTCTTTGGTATTTGTAAAAACACCAGTCCCTTTTATTAAAGGGTTAACAATGCAGCTGCTGTCTCAAAACCTTTTACTCCGAAACCATAACAGCTTCAAAAGGGTTTTGATCTTCACATTTTAAGCAAGCAAGAATTGCAAAACAATTTTCAATAGTTAAAAATGCCAAGAGCTCTTAACTTTCCAATGGCTTATAAGGCAACATTTTCAAATGTGGGTGACAGAGCAATTTTACCACATCTAAAATGTAATGATCAGTCCTTGATTTAAAAAACAAAACAAAACAAAAAAAACCCACTATAAATAGTATAAAAGGATGCTTTGCTGGCTAGCAAATAAAGATCCTGATCTTTATTTTACTTTGCTTAAGTAGTCCTATGAATAATCCCATGGGCCCAAAGATCACTGTTGTCAGAGTAAAAACTACTCTTGAATTTAGGATTGGCAGAATTTAGCATTTAAACTGCTTACAGCAATGCACTGAACCAATTCCTACTACACAGAAATACAACAGCACAGATTCAGGGTTTCTGGATGGTCTCATAGTTACGGCATTTAGGGAGAGGATGTTAACAAGTTGTCACCCACAATCTTAATCAGGCTTTCTGTTATGTACAGTATTTGCACTCAAATTAATCCTTCATTCAACATTTACTCTGTGACACTTTAATCCAAAAGACATTTAGTGGAATATTCCCTAATGCAGCCATTAAAAAAATTATTACATTACAATCACAGATTCTTCCCTTTGTTAGTCTAGAAAGCTAGGGCTAAATACAAACCATAGCCACCAAGTCATCTTGACACACTGATCTAGCTTTAAAAAAAAAAAAAAGGTCTTTTTAGATGCTAGATATTTTTAGTGTTCAGCACCAAAAATATAATGTAGCAGGAATTTAAACTGTTCAAACTGATATGCACTTGTTAAAAACCTCGTTAATTTAAAATCTAGTGACACACTAAAGACCCCCCCACGGGGGGGGGGGGGTGGATCTGTTTGTTTCACATGCCACTAGGAATGCACTGATTGCACCTATTTTGTAGCTAAGTGGTGTTCCTGCACATGGAAAGGAATTATCAAGAGCTCAGCTGATAAAGAATCCTCCAAATCAATTTGATCCAGCTCCGAGAGGTGCTTAGGCAAGGGAAGGCACTTTGGGGCTCTCATGGAGAGCATCCTGATTATAAAGGAATACACTTTCATAAACTACATTAGGCAATAATTAGTCAAAGAGAGAAATGGCAGGACCCATGTACCAGAATTTTCAGACCCCCTTGGAAGACTCTGGGTACAGAGGTCTTAGCCATGGTACTGAGAGAAACTTTGAAATACTAAGTAGAGGATGGGAAGGCCACTGTGAATAACGGTTTGCAGAGGAGCCCTAGGCAGAATTTCACACTTTTTGCCGTATCTTCCTGCTTGACACTACCCCATGCCACTAGCAAGTTACATCATCATCTTTGAAACTGATCACAGCTGGCAGATTTTACAAGCGGCCAAGAGATGGCAGCAACAAGAACAGAAAACCCAATGGCCTGTCCTATTATACATAGGGGGCCCATCAGCAATCAGGATAAATGAATTTCCCTCCCTCCTATGCCCCCACCCCCACCCACTCCTTTTCTAGGTCAGCTCCTGTTATTGGCTAGTTTACTAATAATCTACAATAGCCATTTGTTTGCGTGGAGGTTCTTCAATACAACAGTTGGAAACTGTTGGCTTCCATGGAGTAAGTTCTACCAGGATGAGTGGCCTGTTTCTCCTGTCACTGCTCAGAAAAAGCAAAGTGTTACACAATTTTTTAATTTAGAAAAATATTTAATGGCTTGAAGGTCATTGTCTTAGTACCAAAAGTAAAGTGCACCACAACTTGAGGCTACTGATTGAGCTGAAAAATGCTATTAAAGAGGCTTCTGAGTTATAAAAAAATAGCACTACAAACTACGGTTAAGGCAATACAAGTTTTGTTCATCTACTAGATAATTTACTGGACAGTTTTGTCTATCTCAAGCTTTAATTATTGCTTTATTTCCTCTGTGCTACAGTTCTTAGCCATTAGGAAAACAGTGCTGGCAGAACTGGCAGACTGAGTATATCGCTCATTCCAGGACTGGTGAAATATTTTGTAAATACCATATGCTTTGTGATGTTAGAAAGTAAAGGCGCTCTTCTCTCTCTCCTCCTCTACTGGATGAACAGTCTAGCAAGGAATTCAGTGTGAAAACAGAGACAGGCTTGCTCCTGAAGCAGCAAAAAATATCTGCCTGCATCAGAGGTAATAGAGTTTCGTGGAAGTTTTCAGTGGAGTGGAAGAAACAAATCCAAGAAAATAACAATGGTGTGTAATATATTGTGTCCTGAAAAACTTTTCAAAAAGAGTTCATAGCCCTCAGGTAAATTGTTTTAAGGGCATAAACCCAGTACAGAGAAACAAGATCCAAGGCTCAGAAATAGTCTCAGGTCACAGTTCACTACTTTCCTGCTTTCATATAGGATGGGATTGCCCCTCGGGCTGTCAGCCCCTCAAATCGTTTGTAGGTGTAATTGATGAAGACCCAGTCTTTGTTCTTGTAGTCAGTCTCTGGATGGTTACTTGTGGCCACTGAAAGACAAAGTGACAAGTGTTAGCTTCTTCAGCTATTAAACTGTACTCAATATACATGACACTGGACACAGTCTTTTAGTTTTAAAGAAATTATACAACTTCTGGTTGGGAAAATTCTGTTTCCCAGTTTTATTCTTCAGTTCTAGAAAAAAGGGAGTCGTTACAGTCTATGGTGTGTTAAAAAATCCACCTGCTAACAAATGCTCAAACAGGCCTTGACATAAAAGCTGTCATTATGAAACGCATGGTCGAATAGCCATTCATTGATTAAAGCAGACCCATTTTCACCATGACACTGGAGAACGTTATAAAATTACGCATATTAAGTCTCACGGCTGTGCCCTGAGAAGCACTGCCACATCCCAACTATACATTTCCATGGCAGTCATGCGTAACACCAGAGGAACCATCGTGGTCTTATTTGTACAATAAAAGATGAACATTTTCTTTATAAACACATTTATATGAAAAACTCAGGTAAGACTATCAATGGCACTTCCATGAGGGATTTTTGGCTTTAATGCTACCACAGAACGTATTACACTAGTCGAGTGAGGAAGACGGAGAGGGAGAAAGTTCTGAGTTACACTTTAGTTTGTGGGTTTACGTCTGAAAGTGCCCTCAAATCCCCTTACATCTAGATATTGCAGCAAAATACAGAGTCCCTTGCTGCCCTGCGATGTCAATGGAAGTTCCGTGCACAAAGGACTTGCAGAATTGGAACCACAGTTTGTAAAAGTTACCATTCAGAATTCCCCCTAAGAATCCTTAAGCATCTAATACTTATCCCGAACTTGCTATCAAGACAGACTTGTAGGATTCCTGTTAAAGTAAACTCTGCATTATCATTATATGTAAAATAGTGACAAGAAGGGGAGATATTTACCTGTTGGTTTAAGGATATCCGATTCTGGAAATTCGTCGAAGTTTGAGGTGTCATCAATGCTTTTAATTTCTATTGATATTGCAGCAGGTCTCTCTCTGCCAAGAGCAACATTCTCACTATTAGGTTTTAAGGCAGGCAATGAATACATTCCATTTCTATAGGGACTCAAAACAAAAGCCTTGACCTGGATATGCTTGAACCTCAGAGAAGTTCGGATCAGGATCTGAACTTCATCACAGCCACGCAGGCCTGGTTATTGCACAGGCCTGGTTCCCTGCGTATTCAAGTCAGAGCTGCTCATTTTACCATCACAGGCAAGTTTTTACTGTAGCAGCACTTCTGACAAACCTAACAGTCTAATGTAATTAGACCACTGGACTGGAAAATTAAACAAGGACTAGCTTTCTGGAAGGATGCTGAAGTGTCTGGCAATGTCCTACCTGATATGCTCCCAGTCAACCCCTTCAAAGAAGGGGTTACCCTTGATTTCTTCGACACCAGGTGCACCAATTCTGTGCTCCCATTCACAGCAAAATCTGTGAAAGGAAGCATGAAAATAGTGAAGTGTTATATTTAGAGACAGTGAGTCATTTTAAACTGAAGCTAGTATTTACATGTAAGAAATTGTAACTGAAGGATAATGATAAGAGCTCTTATTTTAAAAAAGTAATACACAAACTATGCTAAGGAATGCTAAGGCTGTGATAGAATATAGGGAATTTACATTCAAGAATAATATGTCCTTTCATCCAGGACCAGCAGGGGGCAACAGTACACACAAAGCATGTACGTTTCACTAGGAAATACGTACTTTTGTATTGAGACCAGATTAAAAACCTATCAGAAACATCATGTACATAGTTAAGACTAAAGAGCAAAATGATTGCATATTCTCTTTCCCAAGCCCAGCTCAGTGTGTATGGAATACGTTTATAAATCAAACTCTACACACAAACAGTGTCAGACACACTTACTTACCTGTTGTGTTACAACGGTGGGTCTGGAAAACATTTCGAGCCACTTCCAAGGAGGTTTGTAGGGAATTTATTCCCTGAACTGAGTCTGAGTTTTAATGTGTATGTTTGCCTTGGTTTAGACAAAGATGAAATGTTTCTGGTTGGTGATTGCTTCTTGTGGAAAGCATAAAGGCTGATGGGGAGTTAATACATATCTGCCTTAAGGCTGTTATGTGGAAGCAAAGTGGGTAAACCTTATTTCAGACAGGAGTTTGTTTGGATAAACTATTCAATTCCAAAAGGAATTTAGACCACTCACGAGAAGCGTTTCAAATACATTGGATGGAAAGCCAGCAATTCTAACCTGCTGTCCTAACAAGCGTAAGCCTATTTCAAGGACATCCTTTGCCAATATAAACAGAAAGTGTCCATACAGCCAGTTAACACAACTCAACATTCTCATTCTGTGTTTCCTTCAAGTGGAGATTCAATTTCTGAAGAATTCAGAGGCACAGGAAATGGGGGACAAAGACATGTAGGAGGCAAAAAAGCTACGAGATGAGGTGCTCCCAAACATAAGATTTTACAAGAATCCCCATTAATGCAGCTCTTTAAGGGCTCCCAATTTAAATGACAGTGAACCACCATGAATTTGATGAGAAGATATTTGATTAGCGATCTTCCTAGTCAATACATAAGTGTGACAAATATATCACCTTAAACTTCAAAGCACCAGCTGTCTCGTTAGGCAAGCTGTAAGAGAGGTGTTTCATACAGTTTGTAGGATGAGAAAATTCATGACATGTAACAAGTGGCACCACACGACAAGCTTGGTCAGCTGCAGCAATTGACTGACTGGTACCTTAGAATAAGATCCTTTGCTTTCTCAGAGATTGGAACTTCCGGGGGGAAGATCAGAGTCTCTTTCCAGTTCATCACTTTCTTATAGGTTTCTTGAGGGGTCTCAGAACAGAAAGGGGGATAACCTGAAAGAGAAAATACACTCCGGTAGTCACAAATTAGTCACAAATTACTCTTTACTTCATTGCAGAAGCTTAAATTGAACTAATTTGAAGCCACTGGGGGGAAAAAAAACAGCAATAACTCCATTTGGGTTACAAGACAGAAGTTTAAAAAAATGCAGGTGAACAGCAAACTGGAGAAAATTGCTTAACGTGAAAATGGGCACCAAGTCTGAAGGTGTGCCAACAAAAGGTAAACGAAGCCATGAAAAAGTGAACTTTGACTCTGCTATTATGTAATATGAATTTAACATATACTCTAGGTTTCTGCATTGCTCGTTTCTTACCAATTAACATCTCGTACATGATGACCCCAAGTGACCACCAATCACAAAGCTTGTTGTAACCCGTCTGCATGAAGACTTCAGGAGCGATGTAATCTGGAGTTCCCACAGTGGAAAAGGCCTGAAATTGAATGGCTTCAGTTACATATTTTGAGAGAGATCCCGTCTGACTGACGGGTGACTGACAAATCTTCGCACAACCAGAGGGCTTGAACAGAACCCTCACAGACAACTTATTCAAACCAAAAGATAACTTTTTTTTTTTTTTTAAATAAGATCCCACATGCTATCAAGATACCATTAAAGTGACAGCAGTGAAAAAAACCACTATTGTAGGGGAAGGGAATAAAACCCATTTAAATACTGCAGCTCTATTTTTAGAGAAGATAGACTTTTAGAAACATTTTAAGTGAGATTAAGAAAGAGATAAATAATACTGTTTAAAAGTCTTTGTAGGAAGCTGTTCCTCCATCCCCTAAGGATACAACAAGGCTAGACAGTGACCAACAACTGCAATACAAATTGTAGCATAGCCCTAGTTCACAATGGAGACTTGGCTCATGTTCATCTCTAGCATTAACACTGCCAAGTAACATGCGATAGATGCAAATCTAATCATGGAGTTTCTCTGCCAGATCCAGCTAGACTTTGGCAGATGTTATTGCTTATGAAATCTGCACAGTAAAATCACCACTATGCACCTCCATCTGCTTTGTCCATTTCTCTTAAGGCATCACAGTCTGGGTATGGGCTAGAAGTCTCCCCAGAGGCAATGTTACTTTGGAAGTAGCTAAGAACTTGGCTAGTTTTAGCCATAATTGCACCAGAAAAAGCATCAAGCCATGCTGGTTCTCTATCTTAAGCGTAAAAGTCACCAGAATTTTACAGATGGACAAACGAGTTATTTCTTTTTTAAAGCCCAACTGCACAGATCTTTCACAGTACTTCAGAGAAGTGTTTGAGAGTTTTGAAAAGTGCCACAGTGTAAATGCTGTTCATTTTAAATATCAAACAGCCAACCCACTTGCATCTCAGAGCTCAGCCGTGAGCATCTGTAGACAGAGGGACCGCACTTACCAACTGACGTCTATTTCTCTTCCACGTTTCTGCTTTCCTTTTGGAATTCATGTTCTGGAAAGCTAAAGAGGACCAGAACACACAGGCATCAGTATTGCTCATTTTTCTTTTCCACTTTCTGTCCAAGATAAATAGCCCCACTTGAAGTTATACATAAAGGGGTAGTGTTACTCCTAACTCATCAGCAGCTTCTAGACCCTGCCACTTGACAGTCTGCAAGCACTAGACACTGCTGCATTCTGAGCACTACAGTTACAATTCTGTAAGCACTTCCATTAGACGTCCACGTTTTCAGAAGTTGATAACTCCAGGAACAAAATACTCACTTCAAGATGGCTACATTTAAAGGATTAGATTCTGATCTCAGTTACATCCATCTAAATCTGGAATAAATCTCATAAATCCAATGGAGTTAGCTCAGCTTTAAAATGATGTAAAAGAGATCACACTCCAACCTCTACTCTCTGTAAAGTTCCAAACAAAATCTATTCACACATGGTATATGCTTTTGTTTGCTGAAATTAAAATAAAAACATTGATGTTTGAGGGTCTTTTAGTCAGTCACATAGCATAGGCACAACTAGTTAAAAAGCCTAGATTGGGAACTTGGGCTTTAACTGCTTAGTAAAACCTTATCTCTGATGACAGACATGTCAGGTATAGTCATGTTTATGGTATTTTACAGTGCAAGCGCTCAAGCCACAGTGCAACACAGAAACAGGAGGGAGAATATAGATCAGCATTTCCTTTGCATCCATCTCTTCTCTGCGAATTCAGTTCAGTAGAGAAGTTCTCAGATTGAGAGCCCTGGAAACTGATGTCCTCTCTATCCACAGAGCAGGTAAAGTAGAAGCAGCAGCAGTGCCAGCTTCCCAACACTGTCCTCCTATCATGCCTCAAACCTGATTTGAAGGGACCATCTGTAAAGGATAGAGGGGTGTTCCGTCTCTACAGCTCAGAGAGGCCAAAGACAGACTGCCAATAAAGGGTCAGTTAGTACTAACTGTGTTGGTGGTTTTTGTAATGTGTACTCCTGCTCACCAGGAACTGGACTCACGGTAGTGTCAATCATTTGAATGAAACTATTTTGAGATAGGCAAGACACTGACTACTAATCATAAATGTTAGTTAATTGGGATCTCAAAGCCTCTGATCAGGAGGAACTGTTTCTTTTAAAAGCACCAGAATGAATATATCAAAAGCCTCTTTACCAATCACATATCCTCACCACAGAGAAATAGCCAAGAGAAAGTGACTGCCTCCTCTTTTTCAAGTAATATATGAAAGAAGAGTACAGAGTCATACCAGATCTAGCACAGAAGCATTTACACTGGTGTTGCTGCAGAGGGAAATTGACTAGAAACTGAAGAGTACGAAGTTTTGTTTCTTGCTAAGAACCTAGCTTCAGGAGAGTCTGCAATTTCCTATTGTTCTGGTGCCATGCTCCCGTTTTTCTTGCGAAACAATTTTAAAGACTTAGATTCTGGGGATGTGCATTCCCAAGAGTTAAACTATCTCCATGCCTCCACATGTGATATGGCAGGGTTTGCCATGTTAGTCTTGTGCTCTGCTAGCATGTGATCTGCTAGCAGTCCTTGCTAAAGTACATGCAATGAGCCTATAGTGTAGTACAGCATGGAAAGGATAATATGAGACTTGAAGGAAGGAGCAAGCTTATTGGAAAGGTAAACGCTTATATTTACATAAATATCTTGTTAAGTAGCAAAAATAAGAAAGGAAGTGCACAGTGCAGAAAGTGCAAGAGGGAACCTGCAGTTTAAAAGGGACTAATGTGCCACATATACCATTCACCGTTTCATCCCCAAACCCTCCACATATGCAGGGTTCATTAGATCCCTAACAGCAGCTTTCCACCATTGTGTTGAAATCAGTCACCTTTGGAATTTCTAACGCAGTTCCCATAGGAGATAATATAAGTGCTGGTACTGATGAGAGAGAACTTACTGAAATCACTCGGAAGACTGTGGTTCAAGTTTCTGTAGAACTCCGTTCGGTGAGCCTTCTTTAGCCCAGTGCAGAGACCGAAATCTGACAGTTTCACATGGCCCTAGAGATGTAGAGACCCAAAATGCAGAAGAAATACAAGACATCCACCCAAAAAACAGAGTTATTTACCCATTTATTTCGTATGACAAAACACTAGGCATAATTATCATCTTGCTCTAGCCTACAATTGGAATGTGATATTGAACAAACCTAGGGATAATTTTCTGTACTGCCACACAGTGGATGTGATTCAATTTCCAGTAATGTTCCCAATAAACGTTTACTTCAATGGGGGCTGAAGGCACTTCCCCTTGCAGGATCAACCCCATAGTCCCTTGAGGGAGAATATTGAATGGGATGAGGCAATGACCACCCCGGGTAAGAACAAATAGCTTCCAGGAGGAGTGCTGTCTAATCCTCTGTCAGAAAGTGGATGAGTTGTGGGTGGACTCAATAAGACACAGGATATTCCACAAATTAAAAAATGTTACTCTGCCCGCCCAGTGCTTGAATTTGTCTTATCCACAGTGCAAGGCAGCAATGACTTTCAATGTGAAGTTCTTTTTTGAGCCTAAAAATGGCATATTATATCCTAAACTTGCATGACTCTGTAAAGGTCTGCTCCAATCAGAGCACTTAATTATATTTTGGAATCAACAGAAGTAGGTAAATTCTTCTTGTCAGCAAATTTCTCCCAGACAAGGCAAGTAGAAAAACATAAAATTCTACTTAGCAATAGTAAGGTATTGAAACACACCAACTTCCTGGATACTACCTACTATAAATACATACAAGTAAACCTGACCAGTCTGGAGAAAGATTTTGAGAAGAGATAAGAGCTAATGAGACTGGAAGCCTAATGGATCAGCTACATCCCCACATTTGGTGTAAACACACTACTCAGTATTTGGTGAGCACACGCAAAGCAGATGTCAGGCCCAAAGGAAACGTCTTAGACTAAGGAGGAAGAAATGAAACCAAAAGATGGTTTTAAACAGCACTGAAAACCAAACACAGCTCAAACTGCCGCCACAAGAGAGCACTCTGTAAATAAGATACTGTCAGCTGAAGGTTAGATTGATGTAGCTTTACTTCCATCAGGTCCATGGAAAATAACCTTCAATTTCTTACCCTTACAGAGGATAACTAAATGATAGTGCCATCTATCATAGCATTCTGAATTCTAAGTTACCCAGTGTATTTGCTGCTAACCCAAATGTCAACCAGTTGTTATGGGAATATCTTTTGTTGGACCAATTTCTGTTGGTGAGAGATGTTTCTCTCATATCCTGGGACCGACATGGCTACAACAACACTGCATACAGTGGTTGATATATTTGTACCTTACTATCCAAGAGGAGGTTATCTGGCTTGATATCCCGATGGATAAAACCAAGCTGATGAATGGAGTCAATGGCTAACACAGTCTCCGCAATATAAAACTGAGTCTCTTCTTCTGTTAGGGTGTCTTTTTTCATCAACAGTGTCATCATATCACCTAGAAAAAGTCAGCCACCACAAACAGCAGAAGTAAATACAAACTGATAATTAAGCCCTACATCCATTTTACATATCAGTGAATTTAGACACCATTTTTATGAAACAATTATATTTTATACATTGTAGATTCACAAACACCCAAGAAATGCATACAGAAGTGTAATTAGTTCTTCACTCAGCTACAGTCGAGCCTGCTGGTGCCCTTTAGTTTATTCAGTTGAAAGAATTTAGCAATTAGATTATGAAAATAAACCTTCAATAGAATGCCAGTTCTTTGGGGCAGGGACCATGACTACCGGTTTGTTTGTACCCTGATTGAGGCCTCAGGTTGCTAGCACAATACAGATAGCATATATCTTAAATTTACATATCTTAGATTTTTAAATTAACCTAGATTCCAGGCAATGTCTTCTCTCAGAGACATCACAAATAGAATGACCACAGGCCATCAGTTGGCGCTAACAGAGAATGTCAGCTTGACGTTGTTTAGTAATGTAAAGCCACATACAGGAATTTGTTGGTGGCAGGTATTGAGACATCCAATTTTACAGAAATCCAGTAGACCCAAACTAGTTTGTACTAATCAGCAAGAGACCCACTGAAATGCTAATTCACAGAATATAGTGAGTAGATGAAATTTAAAAGGATACGCCAAATGCACTTTGGTTCATTATAATTTTAGTTTAGTTTTCATTAAAGACTTGATAACATACCAAATAATGTTATAAAGTAATGGATATAAAAAAGCCTCAACAACAGTCAGGTATATAGTCGTCACTGAGAAGTGAAGAGAGACTGTCTTGTGAGCATGTAAACTAGTGTGTGCTATTTACCAAGCCTCTACTGCATTTGATTTTGTGCCAGTCTATCTGAGAGTTTCTGTCTCAGTTATAAAACATCTCATTAGCAAAAAGGTGAATTGTCTGCTAGAAATGTCTCTCAAACCAAAATTAGTTATGGACAACCACACAAGATCTGGACCTTAGATAACAATTCTGCAGCCAGACACACATTTAACAATAACAGACTGCATTATTGCACAATGTCAGGTCTGAAGTCAATCATTTGGTTTCAATAGTCATATCATGTTTTCAGTATAACCCAGCAAGATTTCAGTAGAACATTCTTCTTGTTAGTATACTATAGTACAGGGGTAGGCAACCTATGGCACACGTGCCAACGGCGGCACGCGAGCTGATTTTCAGTGGCACTCATACTGCCCAGGTCCTGGCCACCGGTCCGGGGGCTCTGCGTTTTATTTTAATTTTAAATGAAGCTTCTTAAACATTTTAAAAACCTTATTTACTTTACATACAACAATAGTTTAGTTATATATTATAGACTTATAGAAAGAGACCTTCTAAAAAGGTTAAAATGTATTACTGGCACGCAAAACCTTACATTAGAGTGAATAAATGAAGACTCGGCACATCACTTCTGAAAGGTTGCCGACCCCTGCTATAGTAGTTTCAACACTCAAGAGTTAATCTTTAAAGCTCTTCTTTGCAGACAATAAAGAGGTTATTTCTGATGCAAACCAACTACAAGAAAAGAGTTAGAAAATTGAAAGCTGGTTAAGGTTCTAAGAGGATAGGTGTCAGACTGTGAAGATAAGGCTTGACAGAACATCTAGGTCAAGTATGCAAACATTTGTACCTAAGCATGATTGCAAAAGAACGTACCCATGGCACAGACAGGTAACTATGGGCCTGACCTTGCAAGGTGCCAAGCACCCTCATTCTCCAATGAAGTCACCAGGCATTAAGAATGGCTCAGTTCCCTGCAGGATCAGACCCAACACTACACTATAAAGCAATTACACATGTACAAATACCGGTAACAAAGACAGACAAGATTTGTTATAAAGCCAGAAGACCGCCACAGAACAAAATGAAAGTGACCTTTTTATCTCAGGTAATTACCTCCAGGCAGGAACTCCATGATAAGGTACAGGTTTAACTTATCTTGAAAACTATAGAACATTTTCACAACCCACAAACTGTCTGCCTCCACTAGTATGTCCCGCTCCGCACGAATATGGCCAACCTAGGATGTATATATATATGCATATGATTAATTATTAAGTTTTTGATTTTTATTAGATGCATTTATCTTCACACACAATTCAAACACTGTTTTGAGGGGATTCAAAGACTGAATATGCAACTGTCAAGTCTCTATATTAGGAATGGAAATACCATCACGTTTCAATACTTTCATCACTGGATATTTTCACTAATTAAAATAGTGCAACAGGTTTTTAGACAAGTATAACCTTTGAAGACTGCAACAGCTTTATAAAATATGCTTCTGAGAATGAACAGGCAGAAAACCTTACTAAAGATCACTGACATTCTTTCATATGCTTTGTTTGGAATGTACGGACTGAATAAATTACTTGGGATTCTGACTCCATCTGACCCCTCAGTGCATAGATCTGAAGATCCTTTATGTTCAAAGGTTTCAACTGTAAACCGTATGACACGTTTTTGTTTTGAGGATCTTCAAAAAAATTACAGTTACATCAGTAGATCTACTAACTGCAAAGGGAATGTTTGCGTAAGTAACTGTTCACCAATGTAAGCAAAGGGTTTACAATACGACCCTAGTTTTAATGGCAATTGAAGGGCTTGAACCTAGAAACACCACCATAAGTAGTGTTTGCTACAACAATTAGTCCAATTAAATGCACTCAGCAGGTCTATTGACAGTAGTGAGCACTATGTCTGGTAGTGAATGGTTGCAAGATCAGGTCCTAGAGATGTCTCTGTCCTCATCCATTTGAGTAAAAGACCAGTCTAACACCGTAGCGTGTAACTCAACCCACTGCATACAACTATTCAGCAAGTTTTCATGGAGAAAAATAATCCCATTTTAATCTAGATGACCGTTTATATATACACCTACTATACCTATAAAAAATGGATCCCCTCCAAGTCAGAAGTACAGCTGTGGCTAGGGTAGTATGGAGAAGCTTGTCTTACAGCTACCTGCTTTATATCTGGACTGTAGACAAACAGAGCACTTCAACGTCTAATATTGTTACTTCCTTAACCTTCACATGGAAAAGAGAACATTGATTGAATTATAGATATGATGAAAATACACATTTGATTTGAGGCGCTTATTATACAAGATAAACTACTTACTATTTGGGTTATAATATCTACTATATTAAGAGCACTAACTAAAACATGCACAAAGGGTACTAACTACAGTTCAGAACAGTTAACATCTAGCAGATGAGACTTGGATATTTCATAACCGAGATTGGGAGTCAAACCCAGGTCTCCAAACACATCAATGCAGGCCCACACACCAAGCACTGACTTTCAAAATTGCTATGTAAAGACAAAGAGGTCAAGAGTGCAATGCTATTTTTTAAATGAATACCTTTAAAAGACAAAAGTTAATTCAGGAATTACTGCCTACAAAAACATTGCTTCCTAGATGAACTCCAGTGCCAAAGAAGGATTGGTTGGTTCAGACTGCAACAGTCCCAGAAGGGCTATCAAAGATATAATACAATGACTCAGAGATTGGCATTAATATGAAAAGTGCCACTACTTTGGAGGTCCTGCGAATGAGTCTGAAGGATTCATGCAGCTCTAGCAACTGATATTTACAATTAAATCCATTAGACATGCTAAATCAGGATGAAATCAGACTTGCAGCAAGCCAGCACTCTGAAGATTGTATTGAGAGTTCACATACATACCTTTGGTATCAAGTGGTAATATAGTATCACAAAATGCAGAAAGAGGAACATAATCAGTTGTAATACAAGTGTTCCTCTATTGCTGTTCAGAGAAAAACTGCCATTTTCCTACACCTTGCTTCTCCAGGTTTTCAGATGGAAACAGAATGTTCAGTCACACTCTATATCTGACCATAATGCCTCTTGCAAAAAGCCAGTGCAACTGAAACCTTCATCAAGAAATTGACCAAGGTTGCAGAGACAATTTTTTAAAATGCTGTTTTGAACATGTGAATTAATACATGTTATTACATATTTACAATTAGTCACTGATAAAAATAAAGAAATATAGCAAGTGAAAGCTATATTTTTCCTCATGACCACATAAAAGTTAGACTCAAGAGAAACCACATTTCTTCCAGAAAGAATTACAATATGGCTGAAATGTTCAACGTGGTTTAGGGAAAACTGAGTATCCAAATCCAAGGCAGGTTGGAAAGTCTCAACAAAAAAAAAAAATCCATCTATCCACCCACCCACACACCCCTAGCAGTTTTTAGCTAGCAAAATCTAAACCATATGTTGCAGTGATTATTCTTTAGTGTTTTGTTTTGTTTTTTTAAATATAGGCCCACTTTTGTCCCCCAGGAATTTGAGTTTGCAATGGAGCAGAAAAAAAGATTTTTAAAAGAGGCAGAGCTACTAGAATTGCTATTTGAAATTACTATTAATCACCTGCTCTTTTTCAAGCATGTCAGCTTTGCGTAGTATTTTCATCGCATATACATGCCCTGTGTCCTTCTTCTGGACAAGCCGCACCTTCAAGTTTTGCAAAAATATGGAGTCAGAAATACATCCTTATCAGACCAACTTTTCCAGGTTTCTTTTACAGTATTCTGGGTATCATACCCTAAAACCAAACATTTCACTTCTATTTTGCAAAGCAGAATCAGATTATAAGGACAAATAGCACTAGCTGACTTATGATAATGGGATACAGAGCCTGCTACCTCTAGGACACCAGATCATTCTACCAGAGCCCACTACCTCTAGGACACCAGAAGAAAGATGATACCATTTGATAGCATTTGGCAATCTGTAACATGAAACGAGTTGGATGGTCAAAACCCAGTTTAGTGGACAAGTTTCTATGTCATGAAAACCCATTATAAAAGGCCCTTTGGGGTGCAGCTTCTGCTATCACTGCATCCCAAAAACCATTACTACAGGGTCACAATGGAGGCACACTGGCACAGCAGCGTCACACCTACACTGCTGCTGTTATATCTGTTCTACAGATGGAGGGGCTTTCCAAGGTTGCCAACCAAGCCCATTTCACCAGCATTTTGGTCCTTTTAAAGATGTGGGGTTTTGTTTGTTTGTTTAATACAAACTAACACTGACTACACAAAGTCAGATGCATTTGAATGTCAAACTTTAAACAAACATTCAGCAGTGATTATTGTGTCATTTGGCTTCAAATTGTACTGTTCTGATCTTTTTAAAAGTCTTTTCAAAACATTCCAGTCCCTATAATGCTACTACAGTTTTATTCAGTAATCAGTTCTGTTCTTACCTCTCCAAATGCTCCTCTGCCTATTACTTTTAAGGACTCAAAATCTTCCAAACCAAGTCTTGTTCTCTTTAACCGAAGAAACTCCGTTTCCTTTCGGGCATGTGCGGACCTCCTGAGTCTCTTCTAGTGTTTGTTTTAAAAAGAAAGCCATATAGTTTATGAGATTCCATAATGAAGTTCCCATCTGGATCATACTGAACCAATTAGAGAGGTCACTAAAGGTATGACTATGGGTTATTTATATTATCTAACCAAAAGACTTGTTTTGTGTTCATTACCTCTTCATCTTTTAAACCTTCCTCTTCCATCACTTTTTCTAGCTTCTTCTGTCTGGGAGGGGGGGAGGGGGGGAGCAATGGAAAAAAAATGTTTAGTTCTTCAGAAAATCCTATAAAAAGCATACATACTTTCAACACCTAGGGGAGTACTGTCTCGAACTAAGAGTCAGAGGACTAGAAATTTGGATTCAATATGGAAGTGTGAAGAATTAGAGTTGTGGAAAGATGCTGGTCTCTAGATTTAAGCTCAAGCCTACCTTTCCAACAGAAGTCCAACTTCACCACTTTCCCTCTATAACTCTGCTCATCTAAACCAGTCTCCCTGAAATTTCACATGCCTTATTTTATGCAAGGATAGTCTGGTGGCTACACATGGACTGGGACTCAGGAAATCTGAGTTCAATTCCTGGCTCAGCCACTAGCTTCCTGTGTGACACCAGACAAGTCACTTTAGTTTCACTGTACCTCAGTTCCTCCTCTGTAAAATGGGTAATACAATTCCCCACCTACCTAGAGGTGTTGAAAGGATAAATTCATTAATGTCTGTGAGATGCTCAGCTACCTTGGAGATGGGGGCCATATTTGTACCTAAACTGATATTTATGGTTTTCTCCCTTAAAATATTGATACATTTACAACCTTAATTCCACTTTTTTTCCCCTTTTTGGAAAAGGAATGTAATCTATTTTTGTTGTTAAGATTTAGCTTTGGCCACTGCAGGAAAAATTCCTACATTAATGATGTTCTGAGCTTCCCGATGGCCTTTTCAGCATCATATTATACAAATGCACTGAAGAATTCCTATTCAATATGCAAGTCATTCTTTGCAAGATCCTTTTCCAGCCTCCAGTTGCCACTAAGCAACTGCTGGGGTATGATAACATTTTAGCCCAACATCTCTGTATCATGTATACTGAAATTGCTCTCCCCTTATTTAGGCACCTAGGAAGTACAATTTGCTCACCATCTCTCTCTAACACCCCACTCAAATGCCAAATGTGAATTGCCACAGCAGTAGCTCAGCAGGACCAAACAATGTTTACGCTTTTTCCAACATTAAGTGTTTACAGATAAGGGAAGGAAGCCTTTCTGAAAATTCTGGTTATAAGGCCTATTCTTATGACATGCTCACCACACTGAATTCAATGGGAGTTTAGGGTGCTCAGCATCTCAGAGAATCTGGTCCACAAAGAGAAAATAAAGGTTTCCAAGGATATTTAAGGAATTTATTATATCATCCATCAAAGCCTATTAGACCTCTTCCTGCCTATGAGTTAGTCAAGTTAATGTTAAATTACAGTCTTTACAGCAGTAGCTTGGTGCCTTTGAACAAGTGAATTTCCCCTTATCAGATGGCTGCATCATAAACTGTAACACAAAATGAAGCTGAAACCACATGACTTCATAAAACTACAAGAAATGTTAAAAGGGAATAAAAATCAAAAGGAGCAACAGTTGAAAGAATAAATATTTGTAGAGACTGGTCTCTTACTTTACTGCTTAAATGAATCTAAGCTAACGATACAATTGGTTTCCACTTAGATATATTAAATCTTGCCAATGTGTCTATTGGACTCTATTTTTAAGTTTGAAAAGAAAATGTTTCAACTGATTTCATCAAAGCAAGCTCAACAAAATGGCTTTTTTTTAAATTGCTCAGCAATGGAATAATGGATTTAAGAACAGATATTCTGAATCAGAAAAATATTTTCTTCTAATTTATAATAATGTCCTCTAGCTAAACATTTTTACTCATCAGCATCATATTTGAGAAGCTCAGATAAGTAAGGTAGTTACTAGCAAGGCCTAAAGTAATGTTAAGGTAAGTTAAATTTGAGCTATAATTTACTAGATAGCACCTGCTCAAATGGGACCTCAAGTTAAACAATCAGGCCACTAGTTTCCTTTCACTTCTACACATAGACACTTTCCATCTCCCAACTGGGATTTTTACCTCATTTCCCGTTCTTCATGTTGTGCTATGAGATTGCTATAGAAGTTTTCTAATGTCACTTTTGTCATTGTAACTCGCTCCTTGGTGTGGTTACTCATGGATGAACAAGGTGTTGGACCCGTCATTGCCATGGCTACTAGAAAAAGGGGAGGGGGGGAGAAGGGGAAAAAATACATTTGACATTACTGACAACACAACATGGAAGCAATAATTCTGACCAATTAACTGACGCTCAACTACATTAGACGCTGGAATAAAGAATCAAGACTGAAGTTAATATTTTACGTAGTTTTAATATCTAAGTTATCAGAGAGAGAAAAAATGAAAGACTAGTTGTCTAAACTGGGCACCATCAGTTAATGAGAGAGTCTGCAGGGAAGAGGGTTACAAAATAAAAGGTACATGTCAGGCTTCCTGTTTTTGAACAGCATTCAAAAAGAGGGAAGGAAACTTGACAAATATTATGCCTCAAAAACCACATTTTAGCCAGTATTGAAAATGTTTTGTACTTCACCCAATCTATTCTCCTCATCTTCTAAAAATGTTAGGAATGAAAAAACCCACCCTGAGACACCCAGTCAGAGGTTCCTTTTTCTTTTACACTTCGAGGAAGAGGATACCTCTACGTTTGTCAGTCACATGCAGAGCCCCTTATTATGAAACTTACCAGGAGCCAAAATATTAAATGGATGTGTGGAGTAGTTGAAGACAGACAAATTTGCTATTTTTAAACTACTTTTGCAATTAGGGTCTCCCACTGTAGCAGAAGTTTCCACAAAACAGCCTGCCAAAATCCAGATAGATAATTACCTCTAAACAAGTATGAACTTTAAAAAAAAAAACTTTTTTTTTAAAGTATACTGCATCTACATCTTAAATTAAATTAAAAATAAAGTTTAAGACAGACACAAAGGCTCCATGTTATGGCTCAAATTCAGGGCAAGACCCATGCACCCTAGCTTGTTTATTGTTTCTTACAATAAACAAGCAAGTAAAATATAATGTATATAAAATGTACAAGCTCTTTGAACAATCTAAGACAGTGTTTTCATTGAGGTTTTCTAATGGCAATATAACCCAAAAGAGCAAAATTCCCGTGGCTGGAACATATCCCTAGAAGTCAGAGATAAAGACAAAGGTATCATTTAGAGACACTCATTTATAGGGCTGCAGGTTTGGCAGGGTGCAGAAAAAGTCATGCATACTGTGACTTCTCTGTCCATGAGGCTCAAGGGGGGTGGGTCCTGGAGGGTGGTGCAGAGGGAAGGCCCAGGGGGAGGAGTTAGATATGGAGCCCACTTCACACTCACCCCACAGCAGCAGCTCCTGTGGGGCTGAACCCAGCTCCCCACTCTAGGCATGTTGCAGCACTACTTACTCAAATCTGGCCCTGCTGCCTCTCCCCCGATCACAACGAAGGGGAGGCAGGACCAAAGCAGAGCAAGTGGCACTGTGACCCCATGCACCAAGTCGCAAGGCCTGGAAAAGGGAGCTTGGCCCAGCCCCATGGGACACAGGAGCCACCGCTGTGTCCCTGGTGAGTGCAGGGCAGGCTCTCTCTCCAGCCCCCTCCTACCTCACTCCCCCCGGGGCCTTCTCTCCTCACCGGGCTAGGATTAGGGCTTCCATGCCAGGGCCAAGGGTGCTGCTCCCTCATTTATCAGGGCATTTTTAATTTAAAAAACAAAATCACAGAGCAGTCACTAAACCCTGACTTTTACTAAATTTACAGTGACAGCTCCATAAATTTTAGTTTTAAAAAATGAAGTGACAAATCTGAAACCCTACGCACCACATGTGTGCATGGCCATTTAGATAACTAAAAATGGCAGGCCCCAAAGAACTTATAATAGAAGCTATTTTTATTTGACCTGTTAGATATCTTCTCTTTCTTCAAAGAACACAGGCAATCTAGAGACTGTTGAGGAACTTTTGCTGTATTTTTGATGAAGTTATTTCTTTAAAAAAAAAAAAAAAAAAGCAGCTCAAAGTGACACTATCTGAATTAGAAAAGACAGATAATCTCTTTACACAGCACTTCAAGAGCCTGCAGATCAGGTATCTGTGTACTGTAAGCACATTTGCATCATTCACATTGATTATGCTACTAGTTCCTATTTCCCAGAGAGCAGAAAACCATCAAGTGACAAGCTGGTGTTGGGTGGCAGATAAAGGGAGGGGGAAGAAGACAGACAACTGTACCTTACTCCAATGCAATTATGCTTGTGTGAAGTTTGATAAAAGGGAGAGAGAGCACCTGCCTCTATTTATCTATATAACATGGACAGAGACAGTGCAGGCTCCCGCCACCACCATGGCTCAACCTGGACTTGGAAGGACCACCTCGGGGAGCCAGAGGAGAATTAAGTCTTTGGGGCCCATTTGGTCCTCCGCTGGCAGTGCCAACCAAAGCGTGAATCCGTGGCAGCAGGAGCCAAGAGGAACTCGATGGAGTGGCAGTAAAAGGAGCCAGCCCAACTTTTAGCCACACAGCAAATAAAGCAGCAGAGTAAC